ACATGGATGGCCGCACAAACAGCATTAGCACTATCAATGAAGGCAGCTTAATATCACCTCTTCCTTCCGAAAACAAATAATTCCGCTCAAACTGTCTTATGGCTATGAACAGTAATAATCTTAAGATTAATGAAGAAACAACTGATGTTTCAGTTATCTCAATCTATTCTCAATAAGTCCAGATAACCTTCTTTATGTATTCTGCTAGGGGCTTGTAGCATTTTAAACTTTTTAACTAAATCAGGAAAAAAGATGAACCGGAGTGGAAGTGCTGTGCCATTAGCATGAAGGGGAGTGCTTTCTTTTATGCATTACCTTGCAGTATGAGTGGACAAGGCTCTTTTGCAGGCTACATTAATGCCGGAACATTTGTTTTTCTGATTGAGCAAGTATATCCAGCCTGAAATATCCCAAACAACTTAATTTCAAGATGTAATGAGCTGTGTAAAATGTTGCATCTCTTTCTGTTCCGTTCTCCAACATCATGTCTGACAAAAAGCTCGGCAGCCATATTCTCCAGCTACCTCCACTCAGTCCTGATTCAGCAGTGGTGAAAAGCTGGTTAGTTGGTAAGAGGGTCGACCTCCATTTATTATTTAATGGGCAAGAGGCTGCAAACAGTCAGCCTGGCCACCAAGGTTAGTGATACATTGCGCTGACCTGTACAGGGGAGAGCTGCTCAGCCAAATCCAAACATGCTCTTTCATCTTTTTTCACAGTGCCTGAGCTGCCCTCAATCCCCCCTGCCCTGACCTTGTTGCTCCCTCTCCAATCAGCTTCATTTCTTTTGTGGTATTCAGAATCCAGCAGAAGAGACCCTGTTTCTTTTTTGTGTGTGTGTGTGTGTGTAAGCCTCCACAGTAGCGCAGTAGTTCTTGCACCATTTGGGTAATGGAAGAAGAGGAGGAGTTAAAGGAGACCAAAGCCCTTTTATTGACATCCAGCAAACGGCAGAGGTGGAACAAAGGCCACTCAGCATCTATGGGGAGAGCTGGCCGGCCGACAGGGTGGTTGATTAGCGATTCGACACAGGGACCCTGGACTGTGTAGCTCATAATGAGAGCTTAGGGAGCAAACCATGAGCCGATGGAGGATGGAGGCACTGTGGAGGTGGGCTGAGGACAGCTGAGAGGCAAGGCGGGTTCAAGCATAAACAACTGATTTCCCCAAAAAGCTGATAGGTATGCGTGTAACACGGTTGACATACAAAAAAGAAAAGAAAAAGAAAAAAGAAGTGTATGGGCAGATCCTAAATCCTTACACTGCAGCACTGGTAATGTGTTTATATATAAACAACAGTTAAAGGATAAGCCCTAAATCCACTGCCAAGCTAAATGGTTTATGCATTTTTGCTGCTTGTTTACTTTGATGTCAATTAAACAAATTGGTCCAACATCCCCAACGAACAAGGGATCTTGAGCAGGGGAATTTGACATTCATGTCCAAAAGCCTGCGTGTCCCGCAGCACGGCAGTAACCTCATCTTCACCTTTCATGTGGCCTCTGAGGGATGTGAACAGTGTCGGATGTGCATGCCTGTAGATGTGTGTGCTTTATTTCCTCTCCTCCATCTGCACGCTCTCTTCTTCCTTTGTTGCACTGGTCTAATCCAGTATGTGTGGGCCGGTAAGTTTAATGGAAACAATTTATTAAGTCCGGCTTAAAATGCCATCTGCAGCTAAGCCTCCCAAAGCCGCTAAGCTCCTAGTTTCGCCCTGGAGCTTGCTGTGTTCACGCTTACTGTAATGCTCTGTTTAAAATGAGCACAACGGGTCAAAATTAATCAGGATTACAAGGGCAGAAATCTACTTCAGAAATGGCTTTTCTACGAATCTTCCCGCTGCTATCCCAAGATGCCTCAGGTTTCTCTGGTGGAAGGCACAATGCGTGCGTTTACCATCATGCCGTGGTGGGTTTTACCCTGTTAAGACTTCAGAGGGTACGGAGGGTCTAATAAAAGATGGTGCTGAAGCTACACCTACTGCCCTTAAACCCATAGATGCAACATTCAACATAGTCAGTACAGATTCGTAAGTGTTCTTGTAAGATATTTCTAGCTGCTGACATCTAGGTGATAACTCCAAACCACTTCCATAGACCTAGCACTGTGAAATGCCATAAGAGGACCTGCCAGTGAAGTGTTTATCTGTGCACTGTGCAGGTGCCCTCTACATGCTCATTGGCTGTATTTAGCTTCTCGTTCGCCTTCAAGCAAGTGACAACAGTAAACTCTGACCTGCAATTCAATAAGAATAGCCCTGAGTGGAGTACAAATCTTTGCCGCGCTTTGACTTAAACACACCATCCTCCAGGAAATCAATAATTTGCAGGAGGTTTAAGACAGGAAATAAACAAAAACCAATAACTGTTAGATAATGCGTGCCCTCTGCTGCACCTTCCTACATCATAACCACCAATACAGACAGGCATCCAGCAGTACTTGCTGTAAAACATCCAAAGTGAATTACACAGCATCTAGTGTGCTATTACAGATACCATTAGCTTGTACTATTATCAGTACTAGTGGCTTGCATGAATAACAGGTTGTCAACATGAGAGTGATGTGGAGATGATGAAAAGCAAATATGAGAGAAAGAAGGCAAGGGTGTCTGGGTTTTGCCCAAAACCCTGTTCTGTGTGCATAATTACAGTGCTCTGCCCTCACTGATTACAATGTTGGTCTTTCCTCTTCTCCATGAACCCTGAACCGTTTCATTAGCACCACAGTCTGTGTGCCTGTGTACAATTTGGACGTAACCTCAACTGTTTGTACCCATAACTGTTTCCTAAAATAAGGCTGAAAAAAAGAGTTGAATGTTTCAAAGAAAGGAAGAGGTAAAAGTAAAAGCGCTGATTATTTAGTGAATTATACAGGCCAAACATCAGCTCGGCATTATGTATGCACGCGTATCATAATGTTTGTGTTTGTGTGTGAGAGTCTGCGTCGGTCTGAGAGTCTACAAGCTAACAGCTCGACAGGCCTGGTGATCAGAGGAAAAAAGGCTTTTCATCAGTCCCACAGGACCATGAGTGAGGCCGGTAATGGGACACATACGCTGTGTTGCTGCATTCTAAACCAGGGGAAAACAGCCTGCGGGCTTCTATGTATTACACACACACATTATCCACACAGAAAAAACACACTCAAAGCCCAAAAAAAACAAACTCTGTCCCAGAATATATTGCATCTCCCAACAACAACATTGGAATGTAAGAAGAGAATTGGCTGGCAGCTCTGCAGTTTTAGCGTGATGACTTCTTCCTCTCTGAATCACAGAATCATTCCATCAAACTGGAGGTTTCTTTGTTGCTTCACCCTTTTGAACCAGTAATTCTAATCTGGTGCCCTTCTACTACATCACCCAAACAGGATCTGCTTGATCTGTGTGATAATCACAAGAGACTTTGATTGGATTGTCTGGATGCAATTCTAGGGACCTAATCCTCTGCCCTGCTTGTGCATTAGTAAGATCCACAGAGGCATTCCATCACCCAATATAATGGAGTATATTTTGAATGTGTGTAGAATATGTTAGGTGTGTGCTATAGTTTTAGGTTTTTTATGCCTCGGCTATCTGCTTATGTACAGCCATGTTCTGAATAATGGTGTAAGGAAAATAATTCAGCACCCTGACACCTGATAAATGGGCCAGCTCAGCAATTCAGTGGAGAATAGATGGAGTCTGATGTCGTAGAATTGTTTGTTAAACCATGAAAAGCTGGAAGTGTTGGTCACTGGCAGATGGTGGTCACAGGTCATCGCCATCATAAAGCCAGCACACCACATTTATCTATCTTCTCCTTGTCAGCTTAACTAAAGTCAGCTACCAACACTTATTAACTATGTTACCATATCAGCATAAATAAAATATATTTTGATGTGATGGTGGATAAAATGGGGAACATTAAAACCCCTCATCACTGTAATCGGAGGTGTGGTATAATGGTACAACCTAGATGAAAGAGAAAATACTGTGACAGCAATATTTTAGGAACCTCTACTATTGATAATTTTAAATAGATTTTCCAGAAATGTTTGAGAAAAAACACATAACCAAAGTGCCAAAAAATATTCTTATAACATCCCCGGCTACACTAGCATAACAGTGCCCAGCCGATGCTTGCTTATCTATTTGTCGAGTCTGCCAACATACACTAACCCATTACACCCACCGCCTGCCCACAAAACTCTCCTCATTTGGCTGAAGCATATAGTGAGCAGATCAGCCTCCATATTCTCTCAGCTTGTGTTAATGGGCCTCAATCCTGGTTCTTGCCTAGAGGGGACATGGTCTGCATGCTGGTATCTGTCATGAGCAGGCTGATCATGCGTCTTTCCTCCTCCCCGTCCTCCTGTATCCACAGCTTGACACCTATACTCCTGCTCCGACATGCCAAGCATCATTGCATGTTATAAACATACAGGCTGTGGTCCACACCGAGTCCACATGGCGCCTGCGACATGCCAAAGATATCCACGTATACTTGTTCGTGGATGCAAACAAATTCACTAAATCACATGGCGCCATTTTAGGATTATAATGTGCAAAAGCAAAGAACTTATATTTCTTATAAATATATATGTGGGGAGAGAGTTAAAGTTGTTTATTTCTATGGGGGCTGATAAAGCTCTGTCTTTCCTTTGGCAGCCATTATGTTCTAGGCTTGCTGTCAGAGAGCTTGTATTGCCTAAGGGGAAGTTCCCATTTGTGGGAGCATGTGGCAGGGAGGTTTTAAATCCCCTCTAATGAACCAATATGTAGGAGGGCAAATCCTTTGGTGGGGTCATCCAAGTAATGCAACTATGCATCCAGACAAAAATGCATGCATATGTAGTCACCAGACCTTATTTAAGACTGTCTACATTTGAATCTGAATAGGAGCTGCTGGAATAGATCACATGGAACTGAACTCATTTGCAAAAGCCAGTACTTGTTGTACATGAATGTAACATAAGAGGATAGTGCTGAGGTTAAACAGCAAACATCAGGATTGTCTTACCTTTGGGTGTGGTGGGGGAAAAGAGCTTCTCAGATCCTACATCAGACACCTGGAAAAACAAGATTGCAAACTTTAAGTGGATTTGTCTAATAGGTCAAATCCGTGATAAACAGTCGATCTTGATGATCCAAACATAAAATTCAAGGCAATTCATCCAAACAAATGCAAGCTCTGACACATATTTTGGCTACAAACTAAAAAGCTTATTCAGCTGTAAATCTGGTCAGAAGCACTTAGAGATGAAGTTCCACTTTCACAAGCAGCATAATACAATCAATCAACAGCCTCCAATCAGGGAAGGAGAGGAGCTCCTCCTGTGCCAGACAGGGGCTGTCTGGCTTTTTGTGCTGATGAAGCAACATTAGGTGGCACTGTTGGGCCACCTGAAAATCCTAAGACGATACGCCGTCAAGGGCAGAGGAAGCTCATAAGATGGCCATGCAGCATCAGAACACAAAGGCTTTTGAAAACACACTGCAGTCGAAAGATTCACAACACAATATTTTTGAAAGACTGCAGCAAATGAGTGAAAAATGACTGCACCCTGAGAAGCTAGTCTTAATTTAAAAATTCAATATTAAGTGATTATCTGTTGTGGGCAGAAGTGACTGATTTAAACCAACAGCGAGCAGTGGAAACCTTTAGGGCTATAATCAAAGGTTGGTTGTGTCTATATAAAGCCGGCTGGCATTTGACTCTAAAGTGATAGAGACCTCTAGACTAAACACTGCTATGCATTTCCCGACCGTCTTCAGATGGATTTGTATATATTGGCAAGCATCAGCTAAATCAAAACGTACCATATTTCTTTACTAAAGTACATGTTCACTGACCACACAGCAAAAGACAGCAAGTCTATCTGAAACCTGACATGTGAAAGAAAAAACAAAAAGAACAAAGAAAAAAAAGAGTGTGCACAACAGCAGAGTGTGTGCCTGTAATGTAATATTAACAATAAAAATCCTCCTCACCCTGTTAGAAGGGGCTTTGTCTAAAGCCACATTTTGTTCTTGCTTTTTCTCTTATGTGAGACCTACGGACTTGTAAAAATCAGTAAAAGCTGAGCATATGTTCAACCCAAAGGGCCTGAGTGTCCCTATCTGCTGCGCCCGTATTTCATGCTGCACAAAGGAAGCATATGTAAAGAATGAAAAGTGAGTAGAAGAGAGACAGAAAGAGAAGGCAAATGATTTTGTAAACACAGATGGCTGTCCTTGGCATCTTTGTTAGTTCTTCATAAGTGTTTTGAGGACATCCTCTTCTCTCAAAGACCTCCCAATTTCTCCTTAACTGCCACTGTGTTTCTGTTCTGTAAACTTGTATGTCTGTTCTAGATGTCTCGTTACGGTGCCAACCAAAATAGAGCTCAAGGAAAATGTAGATACACTTACCAGAGCTCAGCTCTGTACCAACGCAGAGGGCTTTTAAAAAGTCGGGCATGAAACCTTAACTGTAGGCATTTAAGTGCCTGCAAAAAGTCAAATAAATCACAGACTGCTATTTACAGAAAAATATTGACCTCAATAACATTTAAAGAGAATGAAACAAATTATTAAAGAGTTTGTTGCTCAAAGAGCCAAATATAACAGAGATAGAATTCAGGCCTGAAAACATTATTTATAACATTATAAGATTATCCAAAAGTGATTTAAAAAAAAAGTGACATTCAGCTGTTGCTTGCGATTGCAGATGGCAGTTATGGGTCTGAAAAGATCAGCATTTAAAGCACTGAAAGGCTTGCCAGCAGGGTAGTGCATCAAGCTAATTAAATAACCAACGGAAATGAGACCAAAGATGAGAAATGTGTTCTTGACAAGTGTATCATTCAAAGAAGAGCAAGCTGACATAATTCCTGTTTCCTCCAACTGTAGATAAAGCGAAAGACTATAGATGAAAGACAGAATGTTTTGCATTGCCCTCTTCCAGTCTCCCAGAACCGGGGCGCCAGCATACAACACAGGCTCTTTGTTGACTTTGGACATTAAATGCTCCAGCACCAAGACTCAGCGCTGCAAAGGCACAACCTTAGCCTTGAATCATGGCCCGGCAGGCCCTGGAAGAAAAATATGAGCTCAGCTTGAAATGAAGCCTGTCAAATGGACACGGGACCTGGCTCAGGGTCTTGCTTAGAGTGGCACGAGGTCACAAAACCAGAAAAGATGGGGTCGGTAATGCTATAACTCACTGTAACAGTGAAAACAGTTGTTATGACCAGAGTGGTTATCCAGAGAGCAAGACAGACATAACATGTTCCTGAGAAAGAGAACAGAAAACCTGTGTTTATCCTGTGCCAAGATGACCTAGCTCTCCTTATTCCTACTTTGGCCATTCTCAGTGTGCACTGAGCTGTTTTATATACCAAATGTATTCCAAGCAACATCAAGAACCAATATTTAGGTTTTAATACTGTGTTTTGCACCTGCCAAGTCTGCATGAGTCAGTCACATAATCCACAATTACAAGGCCGGCTTGCAGCAGCACTTCTTAAAAAGGCATGTCAAAGCACAGCCATGAATTGGCTAGCTGTTGTTTTTGTAGAACTTTCTGGGTTTTGTTGGTCAAGTTGACATTTTTTCACTGGGCTGTGCTGCTGGCAGTCTGAACTGCCTGCGGTTGTGGTGTGCAGAGGTCATGTATAACAAATTCTTCACACTCTCTTTGTTGAGGCAACTCCGGCTGCCATTAAAAACAGACAGAGAAAGATGAGACAAAGGGGAAATATAAATAGAGAGAAACAGAAAGACAATGAAAAAAGGGAGCAAAGGCCAAGTTTTCCAAAGGAAACAGGGAAATTTAACCATTTAAAAAAATAATGGGGGAAATTTAAAACACATTGCCTGGGAGCCAAAAGCCCTTGGAGCAGGCCGCAGGAAGCCTGACCTTTGTGAGGGCCGTCTGCTATTTGAGCCTGGGGCTTCAGGGGCCTGGCCTCCTCTCTGGAGGGCCGTCAGCAGGCCTCAGCTTTCCTTCCCTATTCTATTCATTAGCCATGCTTTATGATTCAGCTTCCTCTGAGCCACACAAGAGCTCCCTAAGGAAAGAGACTGCTGGATAGAGGGAGAAAAAAGGGAGTGAGACTAAAGGAGGGGGGAAAAGAAAGAAAGAGGTCACAGGGCCCAGCCGGAGCTCAGCTCTCAGCAGCTGTGAAATCCTCCTGTTTCCTTGGCAGGCGTAGAAGGAGCTGGTGGGGGGGTTAGAAAGGGCCCATGGAGGGAGTTCGGCCAGTAAACCCACCATCAGAGTGCTAACTCCCCAGAGAAACACAAGCAGAACCATAATTCCCAGATTTAGGGAATGCCAAATTACAAATTACACCGCTGTTTGTTTTAAAAAGTCCTCAATTTCCCTGAACAGCAATGACTTGTTGGCACATAAATCTCCAGATGATAGCGGAGCTGCAGAGGGAGAGTGGAGTGGCAGAAAACCTTGCTTGTAGAAAGTGAGACATTCAATGTGAATTTGCTTACATAAAAAAGGACCACAGTGAAAAATCTTTGAAAAATGTCCATGTCTGCATTACTTTTACTGAAGCAAGCTAATTAATCCTGAACATCTGAGACAGGCTTAATTGCATTTTTTTTGGTGTTAATATGTCTGTGTGCACTACAGGCCACCAGCGCAACGAAAATCAGCCAGAGCGGGAGAGCAGCATAATCAACGGAATGACCTTCAAGCATGAATTTATGAAAAGCATTGATCAGTTAAGGCAGTGATTTCACTCAGACAGGAAGGTCAGCAATTACCTCGATTCAATTAACCTCATTTAGTAAAGACTGCTGAGAGACCAATTTCTCTCCCCAAAACCCACCATACAGCAGTTTCTGCATTATATCAAATGATCCCCTGGCCTTTTTTCAATCTACCTTTGATCTGAAAGCTCGTATTGCATGGCCTTCATTCCATTCAGCTGAGCCTTCTATCTCCTTACAGGGAGAATTATTATAGCTAGTGGTTAGGTGAATACAGACAAAATACAAGCAATTCCTAATGCAATCTCCATCCATCCTTGTAAAAGAAGGTACAGCCCTTCCCTCCCTTGTTATAATATTTAAATAAGCAAGCAGTGCTATCACAACAGCTGCGATGTGAAAACAAAGAAACCTGTGAGTAGACTTTGTTGTGGGCTACTGCCTGTAAAGGCTATATTTATGTATTTTTCTGAGTCATCTGGCACATGTTTGGCTACTCAGACTACTGTAGAACAAGTGGTGAAGTTGTACCACTAGTAGACCTGTAGAAGTACATCCACTACCACGTAATACAAATCAACCAGTACATTTTCAAACTGTCATATTACCTCTTTATAAAAGGTACATCTTGTAAAATGATACACAGACACACACACACATATGTGTATATATATATATATGTGTGTGTGTGTGTTTTAACCTTTTGAACTTACATTTATGTGACATGACAAAAAATTGTACCGCCAACCTCTAAAGAAGAAAATGAGAGTGAGGAAGAGAATAAGGGAAGAGGCCGATGACCACATGTCCTGGCATGGACAATCAGGCTCTCAATTACCCGGACAGAACCTGTCCGTCAAAGCTTGCAACCCACTAAAACGCATGTGCACACGCGCGCACACACACACGCATACACACCCACACACTTGAATGCACATACACTCATGCAGTGTAAATTTGCTTTTCCTCTTGGCGTTTCATCACTGTCAACTTCCTCCTTCGCTGTCATCTCTTTGAATTTGCTATTCACTGTCCCCTGAAATGCTGTACCCCCCCTTTTTTGTCATATCAAGTTGAAGTACCCCTAAAAACAAGATGTGACACAGCCTTTGAAGTCAAATAAGAACATATTTAAAGTACCTTTTAATTGAGCTACTGATTTTTTTCTCTCAATGCTCCTGTGTCCAGCTAACATACTTTTTTTTGTTAACATGATCATGATAGATCAATGCTGACTTCTATCAGCTTCCACTTACCAACCTCCCCGCATGTCTGCTAATGCTACTTTAGCCATAAATGCTGCATTATACAGGCACAGTGGGTCTCCGGCTCCCTGGCTGCAAAGGGAGACACCAAATTA